CTTAAGGCTCTCACTCTCATCTGCTCACTTGTGAAGAGTGAAGGTGAGGAGGAGAGGTTGGGCCAGAGGAACGAGTGGCGTGCGGCCTCCCTAAGCGTGAACTGACGACCTGACATGACCAGGCGCGGTGTGGATTGCCTCGCAGATCAAGGCGTTCTCCCACAAGTTGGAGCAAGGGTGCTTCACAAGGCGCAACACCCCCTCGAAAGCCCGGACCCTTGCACTTGGAAACTAGCTACCTGTTAGAGTTGCCCCTCGATAACTAGCTTCCCACTAGAGTTTGGAACCTAGCTTCCTGCTAGTATTGCTCCTTAGAAGCGTCGTTCTCTAGTGTTGCTTCGCTACTATCGTCCCTTGGAAACACTTGATTGGTTGAGAGCTTGGAAGCCCGGAGACAACCATCTTCCCTAACTTCAGAACTATCAGGCGGGCAAGGACATGAAGGAGCGTCTTGAATCTCGATAGGGCATCCTCAGGATGGACTAGTACCAACCCTGGGTGCCTCCAAATATACTGTTCGGGCGCACGACAACTCTTTATCTTATCGTTTACCACTAAGAGATTAAATGTTGTCTTTCTACTCGAAATTGACCAAATATTATGTTGTATTAGAATTTGACAACATGTTGCATTTTTTCAGATGTTACGTGTTGAACGAGAATAGTGTGTACTCAGGAGAACGGGAGGACTGGATGCCCCCCTTCTAGGTCAGCACATGGGCTTGGGCCCTAAGTGACATATCTTGATGGGCTTGGGCTCATACCGGTACAACACTCCCCCTCAAGATAGGTGGTCGATATCTATCATTCCCATCTTGTCACATGCCAAGTTACAGTCCTTTGTTCCCAGTCCCTTTGTCAAGCAATCTGTAGACTGCTGCCCAGAGCTGACATGAGTGAGGCTAATAATCCCAGCACCAAGTTTCTCCTTAAAGAAGAAGCGATCAATTTCAACATGTTTAGTCCTATCATGTTGAACTTGATTATTAGGAATGCTTATAGCCAACTGATTGTCACACCACACCCTCAAGGGTCCGTTTCTCAGCAGTTTCAACTCGCCCAGAAGGTGCTTCACCCAGAGCATCTCAGACAACCCTTGAGATAAGGCTCTATACTCAGCTTCTGCTGTTGATCTAGGCATAACTGTTTGTTTCTTGCTTCTTCATGACACCAAATTTCCTCCCACAAACATACAATAGCCAAAAGTTGATTTTCTATCGTCTTGACAACTGGCCCGATCAGAGTCACTGTAGCCATCCACCTCAAGATGTCCACTCTTTGCAAACCACAACCCTTTACCTGGAGTGCCCTTCAAGTATGTCAGGATTCTGTGCACAATATCAAGATGCCCACTCCTTGGTTCATGCATGTATCTGCTCTCACCACACCCACGGCATACGTAATGTCATGCTTGGTATGACACAAGTACAATAACCTTCCTGCCAGTTTATGATAATCTTCCTTATTCACAAGCTCTCCTGGTTCTGTTGTTACTTGATGGTTTTGTTCAATCGGAGTTGGGGCAGCACGACATCCCATCATGCTCATGTCATTCAAGAGATCCAAGGTGTTTCCGTTGACACAAAGATATTCCCTTCTCTATCCGAGCCACTTCAATGCCAAGGAAGTATTTTACCTCAAATTCCTTGCTCAGACACCCCTTCAATCTCTCTATTTCCTCCTTATCATCTCCCGTGATGATAATGTCATCCACATAGACAGCAAGAATGGTGATCTTCCGATCAGAGTGTTTGTCGAACATCGTGTAATCACCGTTACAGTGACGATACCCCATACCACAGACAACTCATCTGAACCTATCAAACCATGCCCTTGGCGATTGCTTCAAACCATGCCCTCCGGATGTCTTAGGAGACAAAGCCTCATAAGACACACAATTTCTAATGTCATGATCATCAAAAATATCCGGAGGTAAGGCCTTTTGTGCAGCTCCACCTGTCCCCTTTCGCAATGCAATAGGCAGTTGCACTGTGTCAGATGAGCTTGCATCATTGCCTTGCTGTCCCCCTACACTGGCTGCTCCCCCTGCACTTGTGGCTGCCCCCGTGAATATACCAGACGTGTCAGATGAGCTATGCACTTGTGGCTGCCGACGAGAGTACAATAGGGGGATCTTCTGCCACCGATCTCGAATAGGGAGCTGGACATTACCAATCTGAATGGAATTCACCGTTGCCACATCACCATCAGTGAGAGTACCAACCAGAAGTGTACCCACAATTGGCTGGAGTTGAACCTCCACATCACCATCAGTGTTAGTGCCCACAGAATCATCCTAAGTATGAGATACAATCTTCTCCCCCTCTTGACCATCCTGCATAGAGTGTAAGTGGTCAAGCTCTTGAAACAACACACTTAGATCTGTTGGCTCACCATAGAATGGCTCGATTCCCTGAAGGTTACATCCATACCGACAAACCTGTGTTTCTCAGAGGGACACCAACATTTATACCCCTACTGACTGGAAGAATGGCCCAGAAAAATATACTTCACTGCCCGTGGATCAAGTTTCCCAACAGAAACCCGGTGATCTCGAACAAAACAAGTACAGCCAAACAACTTTGGGGGAACAAAAAGTTTAGTTCCTCCATATACCAGCCCACACGGAGATTTCATTCCTAGTATTCTTGATGGTGTCCGTTTGATCAGATACGTGGCTGGCATAACTGCTTCACTGCACAAGAACTTGGGCACATTCATCATATACATCAACGACCGAGCAACCTCAAGAATATGACGATTCTTCCTTTCTGCCACTCCATTTTGAGGGGG